CCCCCCCCCCCCCCCCACACACACACACACAAATCTGCTTTTGTTCTCAGTTTTCCTTTAATAGATGATACCACTACCTTCTTGGTTCCTTTATTAGTCTGCTAGGGATGCCATAGCAAAATATCACAGACTGAGTGGCTTAAACAACAGAAATTTATTTTCTCACAGTTCTGGATGCCAGAAATTTGAGATCAAGGTGTCAGCAGATTTGATTCCTTCTGAGGCTTCTTTTCTTGGCCTGCAGGTGACCACCTTCTCATTGTATTTTCACATGTTTATCTCTCTGAGCTTGTATGTGTCTGATATCTTTCTGTGTGTGCAAATTTCCTCTTCTTATAAGGATATCAGTCATATTGGACTAGGGCCCACCCTAAATACCTCATTTTAATTTAATCACATCTTTAAAGACCTTGGCTCCAAATATGGTCATATTCTGAGATACTCAGGTAGGGGGTTCAACATGAATTTTGTGGAGACACAATTCAGCCCATAAGAGTTACTCAGTTCAAAACTTGAGATAGAATTCCTATTCCCCTGTTTTCCTATTCAATCTATCAATTAATCTTCTTAATCAATCTTCAAACATATCACAAATATAATCACACATGATCTCCATTACTGGAACCCAAGTATACACCATGCCCGTCACCCAGCTGGATACCGGATACCAGAGTTGCCTCCTAGTTGGTAGTCCTGCTTCTATATTTGCCCAGACAGTATCAGAGAGATCTCAAATACATACATTACATACATACATAAATGAAATCCTTCTATGGCTTCCTGCTGCACTGAGAAGAAATCCCTTACTATGACCTGCATGATTTAGCTAATGCCTCTCTCTCCTATCTTAGCACCTGATGTGTTTCCTCTTGATCACTATGTTCTACCCACACTGAGCTTCTTGCTGTTCTTTGAACATACCAAGTTAATTCCAGCATCAGGGACTTTCTATTTTCCAATTTCTCTGCATGGAACGCTCTTCTCTATGTTTCTGCATCAACTTCTCATCATTTACATCTCTGTCCCCCAGTGATGCACCATGCTCTTACTCTATTTTATTTCCTTCACAGTATATATCACTCTGTAAATTATATTTATGTGTTTACTTATTCCATGTCTGTCTCTGCCATTAAAATGTAGGGTCTGAGAAAGCAGGGCCCTTCCTATCTTGTCCACTTTAATATCCACAGTGCTTAGAAGTGTAACTGCATATAGTATGTGTTCAATACTTAGTAAATAGATGAATCAATGGGTGAACAAATGATTATTATTCTTACTCCCATTTTGTATCATTGAAAACTGAAGCTGAGAAATTTTAAGCAAGTTGTCCAAGGTCATTTAGCTCTTAAACGGCCATGCCAGGGCAGAGATGCACTTAATCTAATCCATATCTCATGTGTTCTCATCACAACACAATGTCTACCTGGGATTTGGAATAGTCATCTTGGTTAAAAGAAAAAAGAGGGAGGGATAGACTTGATATTACATTTTTATCACTTCATCTTGCTCTCATGTCAACTTCTGACAGACGGGCAAGTCCTTCCATAGTACCAGAATGAAGACATGTAACTAATACTCTTCCTACCTCAAACACAAACAAACACAACAGAAATCATGCCTTTCTAGAGCAAGATAGATTTACAGAGACTTTGAAGGGATCCTTGCTTTTTCCTTTGGTGTTCTGTCCAAACAAGAAAGGATTTTTATAGTGGGAAAAAATTTCCTGGCTTCACATCTGCTTTTGTTTTCAACAATTTTATATATATATATATATATATAAGCTCATAAGCCTTCTCAGTTTTTATTTTCATTCCTATAGAGGATTTAAAGAACAGAAATTTATTGTCTCAAAATTCTGGAGGCTAGAAGTCCAAGATCAATGCTCTAGCAGGGTCAGTTTATTCCGAAGACTGTGAGGAAGAATTTATTCCATGTCTTTCCCCTAGCTTCTGGTGGCTTGATGGCAATCTTTGGCATTCCTTGGCTTATGGCAGCATAACTTATACAAGTGCTCTGGTGGATCAGACACTGGGTGCCAGAAAATTATAAAAGGAACAACTCTGTCTCTTGCACATCTATCCTCAAACTCATCACATCCCTGGAAACAAAGGAGGAGCAGAAAACAGATAACAAATTCATTGAGCACATACTATGTGCTGTGAATTATTTCATTCAATTCTTACAACAGCCAGCTAAATAGTATTCCTACTTAACAAACAAGGGTATTGAGATAAAGATAGGTAATGTAAAATATTCACTGTCAATCTAATGGAAGAATTTTAATTTCTTTCCATTTTTGCCTGATTCTAAAGTCTGTTTAATGTATGTAACCTTATCATGACTTCCATGTTCAATAACAGAAAAGTAGAAACCATAGTCTCTAGTCTCAAAGTTTTTACAGTCTAGGTGGTAAGACGAGGTATATAAAAAAGCAAAGATGAATTCAAAATCAAATATGAACAAGACTAAGTTTAAAGTTTCTTGAAAGGGACTTTGTCTCAGTCACCAGTGAGGCCTTAGCATACAGTAATGTGTCTAGCACCAAGAGCATGCTCAACCCTTACTTGCCAAATGAGTAAGTGAATGAATGCATGAACAAATACCGACATGTTAGACACTACTCATTCAGCAAGCTATTTACTGAATGCTTACTATGCATCAAGTTATGTGTCAAGTACTACTTACAGCTCTGACAGTTACAGTGGAAACAGAGCAAAGATCCCTCAACAAGTTTGCCTAAATTTGTGGGGAAGAGAGACACATTCCCAATAGAGGCAAATGCACATGCCCTAAAAGAATAATAATCTGGGGAATGGATCAAAGCAGGGCAAGATTCCCCATGATTCACATGCATAAAAACACCCCAGACTCACTCATAAGATACCCACTATTTTCCAAGAACTGTAGGAAATAATTATTAAAAGAGCTAATCCTTACTGAATGTTTACATCTTGAAAGGCACTGTTTTAAGTACTTTTTACATATAAATGCATTTATTACTCACAACATCCCCATGAGCTGGACACTGTTATTATGCCCATTTTATGGATGAGGGAACTGAGATGCAGAGATGGGTAGTAATTTGCCTAAGGACACAAAACTAGATGGTAAAGCCAGGATCTGAATTCAGGGAGGTTAGTTCCGGAACTCTTACTCTTATAGGACACAATATTCACGCTCTAGATCTGAAGAAATAAAAATATAGTCTTTAAAACCAAATATAGCAAAACATTAACAATCATTGAATCTAGGCAGTGGGTTTATGGGTAATCAATGTACCGTTTTTTCAACAGTTACGCATATTCAAAAATTTTCCTGATAAAACAGTTGAGAAAAATAGTTTTTGAGGAGTTTACAACAATATGATTAAAGACTCAACACACGCAAACTTGCAGTTCAGTGAAGGAGAGTAAATGCTAAGCACCTAAGGCAGAGGAGGATTTCTCTGCAGGCAGATCTGTTTCTACCCTACTCCTAGTTTCTGAGCCCCTTGAGGGTTGGAACTGTGCCCTGTGACCACTGTATTCCCAGCACCTAACACTGGATCTAGAATACAGTTGGTGTTTAATGAATGCTTGATGAGCAAATGAATGAAAGAATGGGAATAGGAGGGACAGTCCCATATAGGATAGGGAGATGGTTAAACTATAGTATACAGTTTCCCATGGCTACTATAACAAAGCACCACAAACTGGGTGACTTAAAAGAGCAGAAATTGATTGTCTCACAGGTCTGGAACCTAGAAGCAGGACCATGCTTTCTTTGAAAGCTGGAGAGGGGAGAATGCTTCTTTGCCTCTTCCTAGCTTCTCGTGTTGGCTGTTAATCCTTGGGATCCCATGGCTTGCAGCTGGATCACTCCAATCTCTGCTTTTGTCACCACATGGTATGGCATTCTCCCTGTGTGTCTTCCTCTCCTCTTCTTATATGCACACCAGTCATACTGAATTAAGGGCCCATCTTACTCCAGTATGACCCTATCTTAAGTAATTATATCTGCAACGACCCTATTACTAAATAAGGTCACATTCAGAGGTACTGGGGGTTAGGACTTAAACATGTTTTCTGAGGAGGCACAGTTTAACCCATAACATAGGTAATGGGAGAGAAGTATGGAAAAGGAGCACGGATCGTAGCATGCTTCATCCCTCCAAAATGTTCAGAAGTACGCAAGTCCAACCAGAATGCTCTAGCGTGTAAGATGGAGAACGAGCTTAATATATATTCATTGACAACACTGACATTGCAAGGAATTTTACAACCTCCACCAATCATAAGCCAGCAACAGCTGGCTTCTCCCCAGTGCCAAGTCAGCTTTCCCTAAACAGCTTATGAGTGGCTTCTCAGCAGCTGTTTATATTTTCAGAATATTAAGCAGTGTTTAGTCACTTTCTCAGGGAGGGCTTCTTAGTGCGGTTTCTAAAAATGTGCTGAATGTGTTTCCAAAGAGAAAAGGCGCCAGAGGGCCTTTGGTGGGGCATTCTGGGCCCTGTAATCACAAACAGATGACAGAGCTTCCTGGCTCTGACTCCAAAAACTAGGGAAGGTCCTGAACACCAGCTCACAATCAGCCTGGGTAAAATCACCATGGTTTACATCTTATGAAAATTGTCAAAAATTGTCATGGACTCCTCTGTTCTATCAAGTCCCAGACCCTCCCGGGGACTCAATTTTCTGGTATGATAAGGGGACCAAGTCTTCCTAGCCTTATGATTGAGAATCCATCAAAGGCCTTCCATAGCCTCAGCTTGCCAATAAAGAGATCCCCAGGGGACTGTGCACTGAGCAAAGCCAGAGCTTTGGCCCCACAACTCTATGTAATCCATTGACACTGGTGAGCTCTTCTTTCTGCTAGGGTTCCTGGAGTGCAAGCAACAGGCTCTGACTAATTTAAACAAAGGGAGAAAAGGGCTTATTGGATGAATACTGGGGTAGTCTCTGGGACCATGGGAATCCTGAAGAATCGCAGGTCCCAGAAGGGCAGGAACAGGGAACATATTAGGAACATGAGCAATGGGTGAGTTCTCATTACAGCAATTTCATAATGGATGGATCCAAGAGCCCTGGGTGCTTGTGGGTCTCCAGCCAAGATTCTGATTCCTTACCTAGATAGAGTCATCTGCCTTCTTGAGTAAAGAATAATATGAGGGTGGAGTGCAGCAGGGAAGCACTCTTCAAATGAAGGAGTAATGTTATCAGAAGAAGGGAGAAGAAGTGTGCTGAGCAGACAGCAGCAGTAGCTCCAATGGGTAGACTGAAGTAAATGTATGTGTGCAGATGACTCACTGAATCTGGTCCAAAGGCCAGTCTACTGCAGCCTGCTTTCTCAGGGTCACACTCTGGTTTCCCTGTAAGGTCAGCAGGCCCTAGGTCTGTCTTATGCACCTAAACCATGGACAGCGGGTACCAGATGGAGAAGCAACCCAAAAAGAAAGATATCTAAATAGGAATTCCTAAAAGAAAGCCTATTGAGCAAGAGCAAGAACCTTTAATACCCCTCTTATTACATCTAAATCTAGTCCCTGTCAGCACTAAGACCAGGAGCCCTGTTCTAACTCCTACAGGAGAGAGATCAGTTTTCTTACTTTGGCATCTAAGACCCTTTGTAGCAATAACTTTTTACTCCCAGGATACTTTCCAAATGTTCTTCTGCTTGTACTGTGGACTTCCATAATACATATTACGTGGAACCAGATCTGCCCTCAATTCATTACAGTGCAAGGTGCTCATACCTAGGAGTACTCAGCAAAGGCAAGGCTTCCTTGAGCAAGAAGAAATTCCTCTCCAACTCCAAGTGCTGGCCCTTATATGGGCAGAGGATGAGAAGAGAGTCTGATAGGCAAGAGGACCACAGCACAATTTGGGGACCACAGTGTAATTTGAGGATTACACAAAATATATTCAGCTGCAGAAAGGAGGCCTATTAAGGGCATGGTGTATATTCAGAGGAATAAGAGAAAACTTTTAGCAAGATTTAAAAACTACATTTTTAAAATAATAATAAATGTGACTACATTAAAAAGTAAAAACCAAATTTCTAAATGCCTCCCCCTAAAAAATCCATAAACAAAATTAAAAGACAAATAGCAAATGGGGAAATAAATACTTGCAGTAACTGTATTAAAGGGTATTATTTTTTTACTCTATGAAGAATCCATTCACACTAATAATAAAAGGAACAACTGCACAGACAGTATATTTAGTTGTTCAACAAATATTTATTGTGCACATATTATGTGCTTGGTTCAGAAAAGTAAATACGAATTGCTTAGAATGATACGAATAGAAGCCTAACCTTACTCGATGATTTAATCAATGCAAACTAAAACGGCAAGGTATTGTTTTATTTTTACCTAACTGATTGGTGACAATTAAAGAGATTACAAAACATGGTTTGGGCAAGATTTTGAGGAAACAGATATTCACACAGTGGTAATGGGAGTATAAATTGGCATAACTTTGAAGGTCAATTTGGCAAAAGGTCAATACCTTTTAAAAGACCCTTTAATTCAGAAATTCCACTGCAAATAATTTTTTTCTGCAGCCACACCCACACATGCAGTTAACAATGGATGGCCAACAACATTCATTGCAGTATTGCTTGGAAAAGAAATTAAAAAAATTAAATGCTCTAAACTGGAAACAATCTACATGTTCATTAATAGTGATCATGGATATAAATTGTAGTACATTTATATAATGAGATACATTGAAACCATTAAAAAGAATATCCAAAATGATACAAAAGGAATGGTATATATAGCAACATGAAAATTCCACAATATATAGTAAGCTTAAAAAATGGAAGGCACAGAGCAGTGTTTACGAGTCCTTTCATTTGTATGAGTGTATCAGATGTGAAGAGAGGTGTGTGTGCGTGTGTCTGCATTCTAATCTATTTGCACAGGTTATATGTGTGATAATTTCTTTTCCATTTTGCCTATTTTCTATCTATTGTGTGAAATTCATGTCTTGAAATCTACAGATTTTTACCAGATTAATTTGTTTGGGGAGGATCATTACATTCTTATAGACTATTTTGCTTTCTGTGGAGCTTCTAATTATTTTTTTATTCTTATTCTGTACTTTCATCATATCTTCAAATTTCAATCCAACTGTCAAACATACTATACATCCAATGGAGATCTCCTTTTATCCTCCTCAAATCCAGCAAATTCTGCATAGTTTGTGATTTTTTTTTTCTTTTTACCATTGGATTAAGAGACCTTTGTGTTTGGAATTTTTAACTGCAAGAACTGGCCATCCTGGCAGAGAGAAGCATAAAGGTATGCTTGTACCAGTGCCAGAAAGGCAGCGACTTCCTTTGAAAAAGAGAGCTCTCATCCATGTGCCCTAATTGTCACATCACCTCTATGCATGATACTTGATGAGCAAAATCCTCAAAGCTGGACTAAATCTATCTATTGACTCTGATCTATCTTTCTGATAACCACATCCCAGGAGAGAAAGGAAATATAGTTGGCTTGTCAGGTAAGAGCAGGTCATTGTGGTCCTAGAAAAATAGTCACCAGAATTGAAAAACAAAGCATGCTGAAATGCCCCCAAAGCATATCACCCCTGATTCATTCGTCCTCTGCTTCAGCTAAGCCTCCCAAGTTTAAGTAACAGCTTTCCAGCTCACACCATTTACACAGGACACCCAGAACACATTTCAGAAGTCTGAGAGCTCCCCAGAGACAGGCAGTCCTGCTGGGAAGAAGCAGTAGCTGCGCACAGGGCCTGTGCGCCTGATCCGGATGAAGCATTTCAATACCGTTCAGAGAAGCAGTAGACAGCACCTTGAAATCAGGGACCACAGAGACATTTTTTTAATTAATGGTGGAAGTCATGACTGCAAATTACATGTTAGCACTTTCCCTCCAGATTGTGTTCTTATCAATGGCTATGAAACATTACAGCCATCACCCTGCATCACCAAAAAGCCTTGTGAAAAGCATTATTAGCCAACACAGCAGACACTTGTCTAATTAGAACCACAATATTCCAGCTCAGCTGAGATTTTGGAAGTCACAGGGGCAGAGGGTAGACCAGAAACATGTCCTGGGAGCTATGCGTAGGAGACAGTCATCCTGGTGGTATCATTATGCCTTTTGGGGAGGGAGGGGGGTTTTCTACAGGTCACATTTTAGAATAATAAAAAATAATAACAGCAACAAGCATTTATGTCCTGCTCACCGTGTGACAGATTGTTCTAAGTGCCTTTATGTGATGCTCATTTAATCCTCACAGCAGCTCTATAATCCCTGTTCCTGTTATTGCCACACATCAAGCCAGGAAGCTGAGGCATAGAGAGATGAAGCCACATGACAAAGGCACCTAGTGAGTCAGTGCGGAGGTGGAATGGCAGTGGAGCTCAGGCAGGGGGCCTCCAGAGCCAGCATCCTGACCACTCTGCTATGCTACCTCTCTGTTACCTAACTGGGTGGCTCCATCAAGACTCTCCTCTCTCCTCATTTCAGAGCAAATACAATGACCCCTGATAGTGGCCATCTGTGCTTAAAACTTTGCATAAAGTAGAAAGATCACAGGCAGGTGTTGGAATTAGACATACCTCTCTTTGGAATTTTCTCAGTCCCTTGTTCGTTGTGGGACCTTGAGCTGGGTATCCAATATTTTTGACTAAAGTTTCCTCATCTGGAAAATGAGAACAAAGCACTCACCTTATGGGGTGTGAGGATGAAATGAGACATCTGCAATGCACTCAGCGGGGGATACACACATAGTAGGTGCTCAATATACATGGGTTCCCTCCCCTGCCCTAGCTCTTCCTTTTTCTTGGCCCCAGGTCTCTCATTCACCTCAGAATAGAGAGATGATAATAGAAAGCCACCTCCTTATTTTTCAACAGTTCCAGGCATTCCTTGGCTTGTAGCTGCAGCATTTCTGTCTCCTTGGTCACAAGACATTCTCTCCTGTGTGCTTCTGTCTTCACATGGTGTTTCTCTTTTCTTATAAGAACACCAGTCATGTTAGATTAAGGGCCCATCCTAATAACCTTATTTTAACTTGATTACATCTGCAAAGACTTTATTTCCAAATAAGGTATCATTCATAAGTATCAGGGGTTAGGAATTCAACATATCTTTTGGAGAACAAAATTCAACCTATAAGAGGGATATAAAGGTGGTAAGCAGGCGTTGGCCCAGTGGCATGGTGGTTGAGTTTGTGCTCTCCACTTCTGTGGCCCAGGGTTTGCCGGTTTGGATCCTGGGCACGGACCTACACACTGCTCCAGAGGCCAGAAGTACTGGGGAAAACTCCTTTCTCACACAAACAGGAAGAATAAACTTGCTCCACTAATATCTGCTCTATACTGGACCCACTCCACATTACCTCATTTAGTCCTTCCAACACCCTTACAAGGTTCCAAGTGAGGGAAGTGAATCATTACTCACGAATGATAAAGCAACTTGCTCAAGATGTGACCACTGGTTAATGCGAACCCAGCTGTCTCTGGCTCCACAGCCTGAGAAGTGATGAGAGCCATTCAAGGAAAAACCCATCACAGAGGTTCAGTGTTGTACACATATAGGGAATTAAGGTTAATACACTATCACTGAGGGCATATCATTATTATTGCCACGTGCAAATGGCAACCACTAGATGTAGATAAGCTTACCAAAGGGATTCAGGGTTACTCATTCAATTGACCTGATTTCTCTAACCATCCTCTATCTTCTTCCTCTGTCCTCAGATCCTACCTTATCTCTGGGTCCAGATGGGGCAATTGCTGAGGTGTTTGTGCAGTGGTAGCCCATTGAGGCTCCCACAAATTGGCCACAGGGTGGAGTGCTAAGATGTTGTGCAGAATCTGAGTCTACCACACCTGAGTTGACAACCCTGCAATCCTTAACTAGCTCTGTGACCTTAGGCAAGTTACCTAATATCACTGAGCTTCTGTCTCCCCATTTGTAGAATAAGGATAATTATGCCTAATCATAGGCTTATCGTTAAGATTAAATTAAATGTGGCAACACATGACAAACACCTAGTATAGCATCTGAGACCTAGTATGTATTCAACTAATTATAGCTGATAAGATGACTTTCTTATCTCTTTAAGGCAATGGACTCTCCCATATTTTAGCTCATTTCACTAGATTCCTGTAATATGATCCAGATGGAGAAGGACTGGAATGAAAGAACACTGGAACCATAAAACACAAACACAGTGGGATTTTGCCCAAGGCAGCAGTATTTCAAACCAGATGGTGCAGGGTAGGAGAAAAGACAGGGACTATTAGTGCCACAAAGTGGGTGAGTTAAAACAACAGAAACGTGTTGTCTCACAGATCTGGAGGCTAGAATCTAAACTCAAGGTATTAGTAGAGCCTTACTCCCCCTGAAACCCCTAGGGGATAATCCATCCTTATTTCTTCCAGCTTCCAGCAGCCTCAGGAGTTCCTCAGCCTGTAAATGCATCACTCCACCCTCTGCTTCCATCTTCACATAACCTTCTCTCTGTGTCTCAGTATCTTCACATGGTTGTCTTCTTTCAAGGACACCAGTCATACTGGATTAGAGGCCCACCCTACTCCAGTATGACCTCATCTTAACTAACTACATCTACGATGACCCTTTTTCCAAATAAGGTAACATTCTGATGACTTGGTGATTAGGATTTCCATATATTTTTGTGGGGGACACAATTCAACCCATAACAGATCACATAGACCAAACTCCAAGAGGATCGCTTTCCACTCTGCCCTCCAGGGTCCAGTTTGGATTGGCTGTTGAGACCACTGAAACTTCAGATTCAAGAGAACTCATCGTGCACAACTCTTTCCAATTCTATGTTCAGTGATGTCACACTAAATTGCCATGGTGGGATTATTCACACCACGACAATCAGCAAACACTGCTCAGAGCATCTGCTGCTCAACATTTACCAGCCCACAGCTGCCTAAGGGAATCCCCTAGTTCTCATGGCATAGAAAAAAGCCAAGATGTGTGGGTTTCAGGAGACCAGAGTGGGCAGGACTGAAGAAGATTCTCCCAAAGGGACTGAGAAAGTCAGTTCACTTCTCATAGAAAGTGTGTAATGGAGGTCAGGATGTCTTCTGTGCTTCTCCATAGGCCTATGGTAAAGATTGAAGGAGATAATGGGTAGACATACAATGTGTTCTTTACAAACTTGGGATTATTAAGCTACTTTGTTCTGGCAGAGACTTGTTTTACCCATCTTGAAAAATACAAAAAGCTTTGGGTGTGGCACATAGTGGGTGTTGCATATCTGTTAAACTGAAATATTATCATCCCAATCAGAAAAGCAAGTTTTCTGCACCTTGCCCCAATTTAGCTTCAGTAAAATCATAAATAAGTCTAGGATACTGGCCAATTGTTGAACCTGAATGACCTCTTAAAAGACCTTTTCAACAATTCACCTTGTCAATGATTCACACAGCAGCTAGTGTGTTCTTATCTTTCCCCACTTGGAACCTGATAGGAAACATCAGTGTCCTCTGTTCTCTCTTAAATCCTCACACACTCCCAGCAACATGTGCACAGCCCCGTTCTAAAGCCTTACTTGGATTATGCCATTAGCATCGCAATGGGTCTTCCAGCCTCCATCTACTCAACCATCTCTCCCCGCTGAGCCTGGGCTGCTCTTTCCAAACATACGTCTGACTATTTCATCTCTGTTCTTAAAACCTAAAATTGATTTCTGCCACCCTCAGATGAAACCCAAACTCCCTAGCATAGCAGTCAAGGCTCTGGGACTATTACTTGGTTTCAGTGTGGCCAGGATCATTTCACCTCCTCCTTCTGTAAATAGACACTGACCCCACCATAGATACATATGGGTAAGTAATCCAAGTCAAGTCCATCAGATTTCCCCATCCCCTAGTCACAATGATGGCTGATGCAGGAAGATCACACGACGCAATCAAAGCCAGTCAGTGTTCCCTGGGATTTATTGTTTTCTAACAGAAGAGTTCCTTTTATTTCAAGTCATTAGGTTGGAAAGAAATAATCCTAGATTATCAATGACGTATTTCTCACCACATGGGGACATTTCATCTTTGCAATAAGATGTCTTTGATCTTGGGTCCATTTCTCTGGGGCCAAGTCCTTTTCTGCCCATACCCATTCTGTGCCCACAAGCCCATCCCATTTCAATTCTCTGGCTAGGTTTCTGTGATGGAAAAGAATCCTGACTAGCAGGACAGCCCTCAGCTCTTTGTCCACAGCTCGTCCCTGCAGCCTCACCCTTTTCCCTACCCTGTGATCTATGCTGTCACATCACCAGTGGACTCTTGGTCTCAGATTGTGCCATGCTCTCCACAACTTCATACCTTTGCACAATATGATGTCTCTTCCTGGAATTCTCTTGCCCACTGGTTGAAGATCCAACTTTTTTCTCTTGGTTATTTGTTTCTCTGTACGCTTTCTTCTGTCTTTCCCAGTGTGGATAAGCTTCAAAGATCAAAGTGTAAATTCACTGCTGTGTCCCTGCCACCTAGAGAGGACTAGGAACATAATATCTGCACAATAAATACATTGTTGAAGAAATGAATGCATTTATTCTCAAGATGATAGAGAATGTGGCATTGATAAAAGATCACAGACTTTAATGTCGCAACCTTGCTAGACCTTGAACTACCTAAGGACAGGCACTGAGGCTCATCATTTCTAAAGCCCCAGCCCTACATGCAGTGCCTAGCACATGGTGGATGCCCAGTAAAAGTGTGTGGACTGACTTAGCCTATAAGCTTTTGGGACCCAGGGAGAGCCCCAGGAGCCCTTAAAAACTTGAAGACACTCACTAAATCTGTGTTTAGACCTATGACAATTAGTCTAGCTTTTCTTTCCTAACTACTTTCCTACCTTTATGGGAGGAACAATAAATTATTGTTGATAATAGTAGTTTGTATGTATTTATCTCTTACTAAATTCAATATGTTTTATGTCATTTAATCTTTGTGAGAACCCTACATTGCAGCTACTATGGTTTTCCCCTTTTTACAGATTAGGAAACCAAGGCTTGGGACTTTTAATTGATGTGCTCAGAAGTCTATGGCTGTAGGTATCAAGGCATTACTGGAGCCGAGGGCCAATTGACAATACTGCCTATGCCCCTGGCCACTCTGCCTTCACCTTCATTTAGCTAAGACTCTAGAGCAGGCCCCAGGTCACATTAAGGACAGAGATGCCAATGGGACACTGCCCTGGTCTTCAAGGGCTGGGGATTCAAAGAAGGGCAGACGATGATGTGTAGGTAGGCACAACAGAGTAAGGTATAGGAAACAGAGACCTCATCCAGGCTGAGGACAATAGGTACAGGGGGATCATAAAAGGCCATGGGAGCTGAATTCTAAGAGATGAGTAGGAGTTAGCCAGGAAAGGAAGCAGAAAGGAACAGAGGAGAAGGGTGTAGGAGAGCATTCTTCAAAGAGAAAACAAGCACAAAGGCCTAAAAATAGAACGAGCATCATTAGTAAACAGAACTCAAAGGAGATCAATGTTTTAGGCAAGAGATGGGAGGGGGAAGGGATAGATCATCAAGACGACAAAGCCTGTGGGCATCTCACTGGGAAGTCAGCCTATCCTGAAGATTCATACATAGAACCAATGTAACTCAGTGTCCTGGGCATGGGCTTTGGAATCAGACAGGTCTACACTGTCATAGACCGGGTTCCCCGGAAAGCAGAGCCAAAGGTAAGGAAGGGCCTATGTGATACTTCTTTATTATGTATCCCAGAGAGCGGGAGTGAGGGAAAAAGGGTGGGAAAAGTGGGGAGGCCAATAAAAGATGCTTTATCAAATTGGCTGCCGTGAGGTGCGACTGGTTGCTTGATCCTGTGGGGCTGTCTTCCAAGAAAATACACAAAATGCATCTCTGCACAGCCCATCCAGGGAAATAAATGAGGAAGAATAAATCCATCTGATTCCACTTCCCAGTAATCAAAAGCTTGCCCCATGAGGCATTAATTCCCAATTCTTCTGGGCAGGGTATGCACAGGTGACTAGGGGCTGTGTGGATTCAAGGTCACAGAGAAGCCCCAGAACATGAGGCGACAGGCACACGGTGGAGGGTGCCCAGGATGAGGCACTGGCGGATCTCCCCTGCTTGAAGTTGGAGGAACTCACACTGGGCTTGTTGCTATAGCAGCCCCTGGAACAGAAACCAGGTGAGGTCTACAGGATCTAAAGAGATGTATAAGTCGAATGGGGATTCTCCCATCATTTACTGTCTGCTGTATCTTGCGTGCCAGTGAAAGACCACTCTATGCCTCAGTTTCCTCTGACGAAAATGGGAATAGCAATTATCCAGCTCACGAGAATGTTCGAGTGCTTAGGATTGTGCCTGATACCTAGAAAATGCTCAATAAATGGCAGCTATCTTGTCATTACTGTCATCATCGTCAAGAAAGACAGAATTATTGAACGAACTCTCCCTGAGATTTATACTTTGAATCATTGCCGGTTTTTAATCTATTATTATACACACAGCAGTTTATCATGAAAAAGGCAAGAGTAACCTTGAGTTTTAAAAATAAAAATGCAGCACTTTATCTTAAATCTCTTTGATCTCTGTCCCTGGAATCAAATTGATCCCTCTCTCTAGAAACCTGACTTGCAAAGCACCATGAAAGAGGACCCAGAAGATATGGGCCTCAGTTGCATCCTTGCTCACAAGCTGTGTCCTTGGGCAGTTCCATTTGCTCCAGCCCACTAAATGCACTGACTCTTGGCAGGCCCTGGGCCCTCATCCTGGGGATTAAAGTTCAATCTGGCTCAGATTGATCTGCCCTTCTGAGAGCTCACAATCTAGCATGTGGATACAAACCCTGAAATAGCTGACTGTGGTATCAGGCAATGAATTCTTAACGAGTATTACAGAGAGCCAAGGGGCAAACAGAATCACGTGAGGCCTCTGGAAAATTGGTTTCCTTGTTGGTCTAAAGAATGCACCCAATGTGTCCCAGTGTAGATCACAGACTTCTGATGAAATTGAGACAATTTAGGTGGTACACAGACAAGACATTAAATTATGTCAAATAGTGCCATGAGAAAGTTACTCTGTTTACAATCTTTCTGGTTTATCTGGGAGAGAGCTGCAATCTTAGGTTTGCTAATCTTCATTTTTAATAAAGAAGAGGGCAGGCCAATAACTCAGAGCTTTTCTGGGAGATGCGCTTTCCAGTTATAATTTTATAACTTTGTTTCATTTTATTTTAATTTATTTTTCTACAACTTTTGTGGAAAGCATTACTTTCTAATTGAAGATTTTATTTTTAAATATACTTATTTAAGTTTTTGAAAGTAAGTCAATATAAAAACACATTATGTAAAAGCAGTACAGATGGTATGTAAATGTAAGGAAATAGCTTTTTCACTACATGATTCAATATAAAGTAATGATTTGGATAGATGGTATGCAAATGTAGCAAAAATTGTAAAGGTTGAATGAAAATTTCTAAAGTTTAGGAAACATTGGACTAGATGACTTCCAAGGCCTTCTACTTTTTGAGTATCCTTTTGTTCATTACACAAATGTGAATGGAAAACACTTCTTGGATGAGTCTTTAAGGGAAGCTGACTCAGCTAAGATGACTGAGTTACCTGCTTCATCCTCTGTAGCTTGGAATGAGGATATGATGGATAGAGCTAAAGCAGCCATTTTGGAACATAAGGTCATCTTGATGATGGATGCCAAGCTCTAAGAATAAATAGAAAGGAGCCTGGGACACTGATGAAGTAGAACCACTAAAGTAGTCCTAGGCTATCTACTGCTAGACTTCATTATGAGACTGAAATAAACTTCTTTCTTATGTTTTCCACTGTAATTTTGGCATTTCTGTTAGATGCAGCTGGACCTAATCTAATGATGCAGAATTTAGTTCTTGCAAGAGAAGTACTACAAGAAATAGAATCTAAAGTGTGGAATTTCCTTATCAGATAAGGCACTAGAGGAAAACATTAAGGACTAGGATATTGCAGGCAAGAAATCTGGCGCCCCATGCTATATGGTGGCAAAACATTTGGCCAGTCTATTGCCTACTGGAAGTTAGAACACGGACCACACACTCATTGAAGCTGTAACATTAAGACCGAATGAAAATTCCAGAATGTTAGTATATTAGTTCTCTATTTCTGCATAACAATCATCCCCAAAACATAGTAGTTTAAAACAGCAAACATTTATTATCCCTCAGTTTTTGTGGGTTAGAAATCCAAGCACAGCTTACCTGAGTCTCTCTTGAGCAAGATTCCTTTTAGGGTTGCAATCAAGGTACCACCGAGGGCTTCAGTTTCATCTAAGGCTCGACTGAGATCCACTTACAAGCTCACTGACATAGCTATAAGCAGGATTCAGTTCTACAGAGCCTATCGGACTAAACGTCTCAGTTCCTGTGGATATTGATCAAAGTCCTCCCTTAATTTCTTGCCATGGGAGCCTCTCGAGAGGGTAGCTCAGAACATGGCAGCTGGTTACCCTTAGAGAGAGCAAGTGATAGAGTGAGAGAGAGAGAAAGCACCCAAATCCTAATCTCACAAGTGGCATCCATCACCTCTGCTACATTCTTTTAATAAGTAGTGAGTCACTAAATCCAGCCCACACTCAAGATAAGTAGATTATATAAGTAAATACCAGGATGTGGGGATCATTGGGGACCATCTTAGAGGCTGCCTACCACAGTTGGTTTGTGACAACATCATCTGACACTTTTAGCAAAGTTCCACAAGAAATAAAGTCAAACACCTATCAATTTACAAGAAGAAATCATAGGAAGTACAGTTTTGCTTTGCCTACAGACTGTCATCTAGATAGTTGAAAACCTTAAAGATTATTAGCTAACCAGAATTCATTATTAGCAGCTGCAACAGCTGAAATTTTGGCATTAAATAGGTGTGTTGGTAAAATGGGAATTAGTGAATTGCTTCCTGACCAAAGCCTATTGTTTCTGATGGCTATCAAGTTGGGAGAGAAGAATGGACTGAACACAGAGATCTGTAAGTAAAATCCAAGAGCCTTCAGGTTTACAACCTCTAGCTGGATAAGATTTTTGGCAGTGGTTACTTGTTCATGAAACTTTCCAGAAGCATATAGAACAAAAGCTTCTAAGTTTTTAAACAAGGGCCTGCCCCATGGGAGTTGTCGTTGTCCATGAACTGGTGGCTGCTGTGGTTGTCCCATCCTCCCCTTTACAGAATGGGGGTTCATTCTGCAGGTATACTGTTTCTGCTTCACCACCGATTGTTGGGTGTGTGGGAAGTGAGAAGCAGATACGTTATTTTAGTTTATAGGTCAATGGAGTTCAAGGAGACATAATCGGATCTGGTGGAGAGAACTACACATCTTCTGAGATCCTAGATTTCAACAAAATACGCTACCTGGATGAGATATTGGAGTCTTCTCTCTTGGAGAGGTGTTACATTCTACATATGGAAAAATGTAGGTTGGGATGTTGGGGAGCTAAAGAGAAAATATTTGATGGCTACCCAATATCATCTGTCCCCTTTTGCCTTAGTAGCAGACCCCCTGGTTATTCAAGGTGGTGATACACCCAGATGAATGGTTACATTTCCCAGCCTTCCTGGCAGCTAGGCAGGACAAGATGACTAAGTCCTCTTCAACAAGATGTAAGTTCAAGTTGTATGTGGGACCTCTGAGAAAACTCCTTAAGGGGAGCTCACTTACCTAGAAGTTACATCCTTTTTCCCCTAATACCTTATCATCTTCCTGCTTCCTGGGATAAGGACACAATATTTAGAGCTCCATAGAACAAGAGGTGACCTGGAGGATAAAAACTAATGCTTGAATGATGAAGTACTTGATCTAGAAGGAGTCTAAGATCCCAGATGACCAGAGAATAGCCACACCAGCACTCGGCTTTCTACCTCTGGACTTCTTTTATATAAGAGAGAAATAAACTTCTACCTTTTCTAAACTGCTGTTATTTTAGGTTTATACTGTTCCACTCTGCCAAACTGAATCCAGCCCTAGTTCACGCCCAGTCCTATGAGCAGAGAGTTCTTAGAACTGTGCCTGGCGCACAGTAAGTGCTTAATAGCTATGAGGCATTCATACCACATTAGTGCCATACATGGGTGGATCCATTTGATCATCCTATCAACCCTAGGGCACATGTACTTTATTGTCATCTTCAATTTATATATCTAAATCCTTACATATGTAAGTCTACATTAACTTGCCCAACTTCAGTCTACCAGTACAAAACAGAGTAGAGATTCTCCATAGGTATTTTGGCAACAGAATCTATGCTATTAAGGACCACCCTCTAATGCTTCTCAATAAAGTTAGGCTATCAATGCCCTCATAACCTCATGCCCATAGATCATCCTATACTTTCTATGAACCGTAGTGATGTTAATTTGTATTTGGGGGCTCTTTCAACCTACTGATCGGACTGTAAAGGGTTAACAATATCAACTGTAAATGTGAACTCTAAGGATGTGGTTTCTGCTAAGGTGGACAACACCCTTCTGCACACATTCTGTTTTCCATTTCCACTAAGCCAGGGTCCCATCTCTTCTTGACCAATCCAGAGCTGCAGGGAGCTGACCTTTCTTCCCCCCAACCTGACCCTGACCCTTGGCTATTTTCAATCCAGAGGGAAAAAAGGACAAGGATAGCTACTAACCTAATTAGGTGTCAGAGTGGAAGCCAAGTTAGGGTTGTTGTAAGCGAAGAAGAGGGCAAAAGTACCATCTAAACAGTAGAGCCCCCAAGATGAACTCCTCCTTGGAAGCTGTTTGCGTCATCTGTTTTTCTTGGTTAATCTCCTCACACCCAGCAGAAAGGGTTGAGCTTTGTGGGAGGAGCAGAAGTGAAGCAGGAACTGTTGGAAACCGAAAGAGGGCAGGGAGACTTGAGACAGCTAAAGTGCAGTTGAAGGCTCTGGGCAAGCAGAGTTGGAAAGGTGAAGTGGACACGCTTGCCCACTAGGAGCAGTCAGGATAGAGATGTGTGAGGTTAAAATTTCAGGACTGATCAGGAAGTGGGGAAACTAAGTTCCCTCAGGCTGATGCAATTTTTCTGTTATGGAGAGGAAAACTAGAAATACGAAAATGAAAGTGAAACATAAAGTGTATGAGGCGTGAACAATACCCAGCACAGACTGATGGTTCAAGAAGCAGGATAGGTGACTACTGCTATGCCTCTGGTTGTATGCAGTCACTGTTCTAGGCACTATTCACGTAATCTGCTCAAGAAAAGATACCATTTATACCCATTGTACACATGAAGAGATGGAAGCACAGATAGGTTAAGTACTTCGCCCAAGATCATACAGCCAGGATGCCAACCAAAGAATTCGGTCTCTAGGGACCATGTGCTTAATTACCTGTTCTTCTGAACAAAAGTTTTTGAGTCAGTGAAGGAGGGAGGGAATTAATCAATTAATGAATGAAAAAATTAATGAATAAGTAAATTATTGAATGAATGCATTTACAAAAATGAATTGAAGAAATGAATAAATAGATGCCACTACTTTTGTGAGAACTACATACAATTTGTCAGGTCTCCTTAGTCTTTATCTTGATAATACATTCTCCAAGAAATCTTTGAATCTGATCAAAATTGCCACAGAGGAATGGCAGGCTGTTATTGGGGTCATTGTAGATACAATAGGGGAGGATGATCCAGTGTAGGAAAGGGAGAAGGTGAGGCCATTAACACAGCTTCTTCTTTTCCTCCCAGGCCAGGCTTGGTATCTCCCATTTCCCAGAGGCCAAATCACCTGTCAGTTATTTCCCAGATTATAATTTTCTCCTCCAAAATGTGATTATTTAGAGGCATTTTGTGTTTAAGAAAAAAAAAAAACATACGGTAGAAGTGTGCTATCAGTCATTCACACCTCACCATTCATTTATTTATTCATTAATTCATTTGTTCAACATTTACCAAGTCCAACTACATGTCAGACTTTGGCTGAATGCAGCCCTGCTCTGAAAGAAGAGTCGCTACTTTAGCTGTGATTCTCCTAGAAGCAGACTCTGAGACCAGGATGAGCATGCAAGAGCTCTATTTGGAGACAATCCCAGGACAACTGGTAGAGGAGTGGGGAAGTGAGATTGGGCAAAGAAGGAAGGTAATAACAGCTGTGTTATCATGCTGGGTAATTCTTGGGGCTCAGTCCTACCTGAGAACTCTGGGACATATTGCAGAGCTTGCTTCCAAGTGGTACTGCCATTGGGTGATGACGCTGGGCTATTTATCACCTCCTATTCACCATTGGTTGAGGTGGGAGCGCTGCTTCCAGGGACTCTAACCCTCTTGTGCTTCTGGTTTTCCCTACCTATGGATGCATAAAAACCTGTCAGGTAGAAAGTTGCAGGTGCCTGTAGTAGGACACTGTGGACATGCACTAGAATAGTGAGTGCCAAAAGGATACAGATGGGGCCCTATAGCATCTGCTACAAATGGACATGTAGATGCTTAATCAAAGCTGGAGGTAGAATAGAGACAGGACCTAGAGGCAATGAAAGCAGACAGGAGGGAATGACAACTTTTTCTCCATTGAGATTCCCTGACCACTCTCTAACACACACACACACACACTTGTGTACACACACACACACTCTAGTTTCAAGGCTATTTAGACACCTCTCCTGGTTTTTTCACAGCTCACAAGCATTCCTTATCAGAGCACTGCCTTATGTTCACCTCTTTACAAGGACCTTTTGAGACCCCCGCACCTTCAAAAGATCATAGTTCCTTTTCTTCCAATATCTAATTCAATATAAAATCACTCCTAAGGCATAGATACATGAAAGGAAGGTCAAACCAGTTGTTATTTTTTTCCCATGTTGATAACATTGTGATGTATGTATAAAAATATCAAACTTACTTCCAAACAATTTCTTAGTGTTCCTCCTTTATTGGTGCCCCAGGCACATATTTAGTTTGCCCGTTGGGTAGTCTCTATACTCTTCCCAAGACTGAAGCATCGTGAGGAAGAGAGGGACCTTGTCTACTTTTAGATGAGTGGTATCCCCAGGGATTGGTAACATCAGGCACAAAGTAGGAAGTCATCAAATGCTGGATGGATGGATGGATGGATGGAGGGACAGACGAACAGATAGGTGACTTCTATTTGGATCGAGAGAAGTCCAAGGACATGTCAGAGGTTTCAAAGAGGTGCATTCTGAACCCAGTCTTGGAGGATGGCCAGTGGAGGTCTTCAGATAGAGGTTCAGGTAGGAGACAGAGACAGCTTGACACATTCTTCAGGTGTTATGAACCACCATTAATTTAACTTAGTTGCACTCTCAGGTTGGATTCCATCAGGCCCCTGGGGTTAGAGACTCTCAGGGCTTTCTAGTCAGCTTGGCATGGAAAGTCCTCATGGGTGGTCTCTCTGAAGTTGTCAGCAGCTGTAGCCACTGCCACAAATAATTTATTCCCTGTGCTTGGGCTTCTGCTACTGAGAGGGACAGGCTAATTGGGTCTTCCTGGCAATCCACATCAGCTAGAAGCTTCCTGCTAAGATCCCACTACCCTCTTTCCAACCTTTCTCAGTGCCAAAGCATAACGAGGAGGAACATTTATAAAGCACATGCCTGCTGCGAACACCCTCTGGTGACTGTTTTCCCCAATCCAGGCATTCCCTGCCAGCGACTTCAAAGGCTTTTGAAGTCACTGCTAATTTAAAATCAATAATAAGATTGACACTGAAATGCTTCCCAGCTGGTTTTTCTGGGCAATAACTCTCACCAGTTCCTTTACAACCTGCTTTCTGTTACAATTTGGCGTTTGCAAAACATGACTTTTAAAACACATTCAAACAGAACAAAACATGTTTTTAAAACAAAGAAATAACATGGACCTATCATGGATATAAACATGTTCTTCTCCATTTAGGACATATTTCTTAATAATGAACCTCAGTAAACTCAGGTTTTGGAGTGAGTAAGCCCTAGGTTCAAAACCCCACTCTTCCATTCATTAATTGGGTGTCCTTAGACAAGTTATCTAATCTCCCTGAGACTCTTTTCTAAAAGTAAGGCATAAAAATACTTCTCTTGAAAGCTGATCGGGGAAGCAACCTGTTCCGAGGGTAGAAAACACAGGTAAGGATTCGGATCAGACCTGAGGTCAAATCTCAGTTCTGCCACTTTTCAGCTGGTAGCCTTAAGCTTAGATAATTCATCAAACCTCCCTGAGAATCAGCTTCTTTACCTACAAAATGGAAATAATAAGATATATCCCATATGGTAAGTATAAGGATTTAATTTATGACATATATAAAACATAGTATCTCATACTGAACAAATGTTCAAATAAAATGGTAGCATTTTATGGATGTGAAGACGAAATGAGAAAAAGTATGTAAGGACCTGGTGTAGTACTTGGCACTGGACGGTGCTTAGCAAGCATTACCTGTTATAAAACTGTCTTCATCAGCACATCTCTATCAGCTGTTGCTTCATAATCAATCACCACAAGGCTCAGTGATTGATTTATCACTGTTTTTATTTTTATCACCATAAACATTTTCTAAATGTTTAAGCTCAGGCTTAAAACAGTAACAGTTAAGTATGGCTCATGGGTCTACAGTTCAGCTGCAGGCTGGCAGTTCTGAACTAGGATGGCCTGGGTTGCAATGGTTTGTCTCTGCTCCACAGAGTTTTGCATCCTCTGGCAGGCTAGCCCCAGTGTGTTTACACAGGGCCTGGGCAAGGTCCCAAAAGAGAATGAGCAAAAGCTGAGAACTGGCACTTCATAACTTCTGCCACATTCATTGGCAAAAGCACATCACCAGACCAGCACAAATCCAAAGACTGGAGGAAAAGATTGCACCCCTTGAAGGAAGGAGCTGCAAAGTTACTTGCCAAAGAGCATGAACACAATGAGAGGTGGGAAGCATGCCTGTTTTTGCAATCTACCACATTGCCCCAAAATAAATTATAGTACACATTTTATGATGAGTTCATCATGAGAACTCATATGTTCTGTCTTCAGGCATGGGCTCAGAAACAGCCATCCAGAAGTGATTGTTTACAAAATTTTCCTCTTGAAACAACTTGTTAAGCAGGTAGTTTGCCTCATATGTCCTTGGGAGAACTAACTTGGCTTTACTCACAACCTGTCGGTAAGATATTTCACTATCTGATGGCACCTCCTTATGCCCGTGGTGTGCAGCAGTCCTATGAATTGTCATTATGCAGCAGCTGCAATGCTCTTACTAAAGCTAGGATAGGATAATGGGCAGGATGCAGCTCCTGAATGCCAACCCTGTCGTAGGCACATCACACCATCCAATTCAGAGTAGTAAGCTTTGCTAAGAATCTGGAACTTGTTGAGGCTACAAAAAAGGGTAGAGCCAGTGCCTTCAGGGATGGGAGAGGATCAGACTACTAATTCTTTTCCCATCTTAGTCATAGGAAAGGTAAAAAAAAAAGTCAGCTTACTGAAGGGGGAGAGGAGATGGTTCTTAAAATCTGGTTTCATTTCCAAGACTTTATAAAGACTTTATTTTTAAAGAGCATAGGATTTAAAACAAGAATTTGTTGTGAATTCCAGTCCTCCTATTTACTGACTCTGTGACCTTGGTGAATAGCTTACCACTTTTGGCTTCCATTCTTTCAATCTCTAATACGGAGAGAATAATATTTAATTTCCAATGATGCTATGAAGACTAGATTAAGAAAATACCATATGCAAAGGTCTTGACACAAGCTGGGCTTTCAATAAATGTTTAGTTCACATTCCATCATTCTGGCAGCCTCCCCAAATTGAGAATTAGTAGAACGAATCAGAGAGAGATCTTTAAATAGTGAATTTTGCATACTTTCTTTCTGAGGTAGTAGGATCTATGTACTAACTAAAGATGGTAAATAAAGTGACCCCACTTGAGGCTTCAAAGAACTGGATTCATATAAATGCCACCTCTACCTTCCAACCCACTCACCCCCATCTGTGATTCCTCAGGTTTTCTCTTTTAGGCTAATCTAGGCAGTCAGTTTAGCCAGAATTGCCTGTGTTACCATGAAGCCAGAGTGTGATGGAACACTTTGGATTCTGAACCCCAGGCTTCTGGTCTTATATCTAGCTAATCAGGATAGAGAAAAGAGTCAAAACCACCTCTAGTGCAGACCAGATCCTAGGAGCTGGTATCACAGGCCCAGCCTCAATCATGTAGGCCAGGACTTAGACTGACTAAGACTGCCTAGACTATCTTTTAATCTCAACCTAAGAGAATTTTTCAGCCAAGCTTTGTCCTGGAACATGAATTTTATTACGTAATTCTCAATAATTTACTATATATATAATACGTTCAAAACTTGGTGATACTACAATAGTAATAACTAGCACTTATTTATTGTCCCATGTGTCAGAAACATTAAAAATATATAACAAATACTTATAAAGATCCTAAAAGAAAAGTATTGTATATGTAGGTAGGATGAGATATGGTTAAAAGTAAGGGAGCTCTAAAAAATAACAGTGGCTTAAGACAAAAGCTTATTCCTCTGTCACTGTAAGTTCTAAGACAGAAATTTGGCTAATATGTTGACTACGCTCCAAAGTTTTTCAAGAACCCAGGCTCCTCTGAGTGTGACCTCCATTTTCAAATTCTTCTCATGATCAAGATGACTGCTCTAGCTCCATTCATTATGCCTGCCTTCTACTCTGCACTCCCAGCAAGGCGAGGAAAGGACAAGAAAATATGGGCAAAACGTGTGCACCCAGTTCTCTTTTTAAAACTTTCCAAGTGGGGACCTATGACATATTAGCATACGGATCATTGGATAATACTTAGTCAAAGGCTGTAAAGGTAGCTGGAAAACATAGTCTTTACTGTTGGTGGTGATTCTCTATTCCTAAGGAGGAAGAAGAGAATGGATATTGGAGAAAACTAGCAATCTATACCATTGATAATATACAGAGAATGGAACAACCTCAGAGATGTTATCACTTGCTTAGTTGGTAAATGGCTAGCCCAGATTTGAATCCAGGATTGTATAAGTTTCTACCTCATTCTTTCTACTAAATTATATTGTCAAAATTCCATTATTTCTAGGGGAATTAAGATCATAGATCACGTCATTAATGAGTGGGTTAGCATAGTGGAGTTGCAGAAATGCCCCATCCAAACGTTGCACCTCCTCCTTCTACTGCTCTACAGCAAGGCTTATGATTAAGAATTATCGTTCTACTGTAGGTAAAACCATTTACTAGCTGAACGATCTTGGAGAAAATCACAGAAACTCACTGCTCTTGAGTTTCCTTATCTATAAAATGGGCTTAATGGGTTTGACCTAATAAGTCAAAATCCAGGGTTTTAGGATATGT